GGCAGGGTGGCGGGTCCCCTCCTCTCCTCTCCCCCAGCCCCGCTGGCGCAGTGACCCCTGCCCAGGGCCGCCCCCCTCTTGCCTGCTCCCCCGCTCCGCCAGGAAAGCTTGGCCTGGGCTGGAGCAAGGCTGGAGACCCGCGAGCTCCCTCTGAGCACGCAGTTGGGTCCTTATTCCCAGCTAGCTACTGCTGCTGCTTCTTTGGTCCCGTCGTAAAGCCCCTCTTGACACACTTGAAGGTGGGCAGTGATGAATTAGGCAAGGAGTTGCCCGACATGGGTAGCGGCTGCTAACAAATGTAGGATTTGGCCCCCTAATCTCAGACCATCTCAGCTCCTTGTTCAGGTCTATGCCCTTGGTACAGGATCTTATTTTACGTTTTTATTAGCCGATATCCTTTTTGGGGGGGAACATGCCGACTCATTTATTACCGAGATAGCAGCCTTTTTTGGGGACGTGCGAAGTCCTTTATTACTGACATAGCATATGTATTTGTATATCATTGCATTTCTCATTTTAATTAGAAATATAATTGTATTGCATTTATACATTTCACTTCAAGCAGCAGCACACGGCAGAGGCAGTGAGGAAGCGCGTGGCCAGGAAAAGAGGACCTCTTGTCCTCAGTGCTCTCCTGCCCCTGCTGCAGCAGATTGTTCAGGGCAAACATTGGGTTTATAAATCACCAGTTTACCCACGCGACCTAGCCTCCACCCCCTCCTCTCTTTCCTCTCTCTTCTTTCTCCTTTTTACTTTCTTTTTCCCTTTCTCTTTTCTCCACCTCCTTTTTCTTTCCCACTTTCTTTCTCTTTTCTCCTCCCCCCACCCCAGGGTGCAGTCATCTTTGCTAGCAAAGGACAAACAGCATACTTTTAACTATGAATATAATTAAATTGTATTTATAATTGAAACTAGAACTCTAAGTATGTAATAAATTAGATGTAGTATCCATGTATACATTATTACAGTATAATTATAATAGGCATCTATAATATATATTATACATGTGTATATGTATATATTATACATTATGGTAATAGTAATAATAACAATAATAATTAGATTATCACTGCATCTCATTCATTACTAGCAACTATTATTTGTGTGACAATGAGCTTTGAGAAATGAACCAGGAACTGGGAATAAGGAACCGGCCTTGTGTTCTCATCAGCAGGGATCTTGGTTTTCTCTGATTTAAAAAAATCCCCAACTTTCAGGTTAAAAAAGGAACCCCAAATCCACATTTTTCCGTGATCAGAATGAAACACCACTATGCGTATATAGTTTCATAGTTTGTAGGGTCGGAAGGGACCTGAGCAGATCATCTAGTTCGACCCCCTGCCATGGCAGGAAAGAGTACTGGGGTCAAACGACCCCGGCAAGGTGTTCATTAGACTGTCAATACAGTCTACACAACAGAATTATAATTCATAGATTCATAGAAGTAGGGTTGGAAGGGACCTTGTAGATCATCAAGTCTGACCCCCTGCCCTGGGCAGGAGAGAGAACCGATGTGTATGTGTATCTGTGCATATATGTATTAGTGGCGCTTCATTTTAATCACGGAAAAATGTGGATTTTGGGTTCCTTTTTTAATTGTATTTTTTAAAATTGGAGAAAACCAGCATCCCTGCTCATCAGCCAGTGAGGGAGCTGCAAGCCAGAGGGATGTGCTGTGAGGTGGGTACTCAATGGGCTGGGTGGTTGTACCCAGCGAGTCGTCCTCAATGGCTCTGTATTTGCTGGGGAGGAGGCATGGAGCAGGTGGCTGTTGAGGAGGCATTGACAGACCCCAGGGGTCACTCCTGGGTCTGGTAACATTCAGCATCTTCATCAGTGATTTGGAGTGAGCACATGTCTGGCAGGTATGTGCATGACACTGAAGCCTCAGGCACTGCAGAGGGCAGGGCAAGGACTCAGAATGACCTGGGACGATTGGAGAAATGGTCTGCCATCGATCAGACAAGATTCAATGCGGGCAAGTGCGATGTCCTGCCCCTAGGATAGAATGACTGCATGTACAAATACAGGCCGGGGAAAGACTGGCCAGGTTGCACTATTGCAGCGAAGGATCTGGGAGTTAGGATAGACCATAGGCTGGGTATGAGCCAGCAGTGTGCTCTTGTTGGCTTTTTTTGCAGCATCCAGGGGTGTTACTTGAAAATCAGGGAACCAATTCTTCTATTCAGGACTGGGGAAGCCTCAGCTGGAGTACCATGTCCAGTTTTGTGCCCTGCACTTCCAGAAGAATGTGGACAGTTTTGAAAGAGTCCAGTGCAGGACAACAAAAATGATTAGGGGCTTTAGAGACCAGACTTATGAGGAAAGGCTGAAAGAACTAGGGCAGAGAAGAACTGAGGGGAGGAAGGAGTGGGGATTTGATAACAGTCTTCAAATACCTGAAGGGTGATTATACAGAGGATGGAGTTGAGCTTTACTCTGTGGCTGTAGGAGACAGGACTAGGAGTGACAGCCTCAAGCTACAGCAGGGGAAATTTAGGCTGGAGGATGGTCAGGGATTGGAACAGGCTGTGCAATCTCCATCCTTAAAAATTTTCAAAGGCAGGTTGGACACACTTGGCTGGGATGGTTTAGTCAGGGATGATCCTGCCTTGAGCAGGGGGCTGGAGCAGATGACCTGACCTCATGAGGTCCCTTCCATCCCTGCTTATCTATGATCCTGTGAACCCTGTGAGGTGCTCCTGGGGTACGCAGGTAGCTGGTTCCAGAACTGGAGTAGTCTCAGTGAGAAGAAGGGGAAGCATCCAGCAGCATTAGCAGTTAGCAAGCTTATCTTGCAAGAGATCTTGCTCTGATGTGAACTAACACTGGGGATGATGTTATTTGGCAATAGCTCAATGGCTTGGGCAATAGCAGCTAAACTCTTCAGCAGGGTTTTAAAGGGGGAAACCAGCAAGGCTGTCAGTGTCATCTGTTGTGGGCAGTCTTCATTTTCCTAGGGTGGCTAGGACCTAGGTGTCTTGTAATCTTGTACTTTTTCTAATCCCTTTCAATTTTGGACACCCACTCGTGGTACTTCCCATCCAAGGGATGGATGCATTCCTGCAGCTTCTACCAATAGGTGGTGGCCTCCCAGGTGTGTGTTAGCCATGTATCAACAACCAACACTGGAGATGGGTGTCTCTCTCATGTGGGGGCTGCTTAATACTGCCTGACACTGAACCAAATGCATCAAAGTGAGAGGACCTGGACAAGAATAATGTTTGTATTGCTTCAAGTGTTATAAGTGCTTAAAAAATAAAGAAGCAGGTGACATATTGCGTGCAAGTGCTGCAGATGTCCCATATGATTTCCAAACTCTGATCCTGGAGGAAACAGGAGCAAGTACTTCATTGTATGTTTCAGGTTATGTTTGTCTTCCAGCTGACAGCAGGGATTTGATCAGTTCGCAAGCTTCCCCCAGTGTTTTGCTTCCCACCCTGCCCACCTTACTGAGGCAGACCTTCTGTGTCTTACTCTTAATTACTTTGCCCTGGGGCCCAGGAACCTGCCTTGCATGTGACCATGCCTTTTTTATGCTAGGCATGAAGGCACATAGCAACCACTGTTTTCTGATAGACTTGTGGTATTTTGGCTTTTCAAGACCAGTACAAACTACTCTCAAGCACCCACTCACCAACTACACTGGAAACCTCCACCCAGAATATCTGTGTCTGTGAAATGCTTCACCATCTGAAAGCCAGTAGAGGCTATGGACCTTCTCTGCATCTGGGATGAGGAGAGGACCTAACAGTCCCTCTGGAAGAGCCATCGGATCTAGGCTGTGTTTGAATAGTGTGCAGCAGGCTTGACCATGATGGGGGTCAGCGCTGGGACAAGGTGAAGGTGGTGAAGACAGTTGTGATGCTGACCAGGTCTCAGATGCCCCCTGGACAGTCTTTTCTTACTAGGAGGCATTCTGATTGAACCTTGTAGGGAACAACTCCATTGAGGTGAGATTCATTAACCATTGGGATGAGGCAGTCCAGATGACAGCAACACTGGGGAGGACCAGCTGGCCACTGTGCCATCATCTCAGCATGAGGGCCCAGCTGCCTGGACACTGAACCTGCTGGTGAGTAGCACCCATCTTATGCTCTGGCAGCATCATTAACCCTTTCTCTAAACAGCCAAAAAAAGCCAGAGGCAGGGTTCCCTCTAAGCTGTGTGGTGTGTGCGGTTGCACATGCGTGCCTGGCAGCATTGCATGAGCGCACCTGCTCGGCCGCGCACACCACACAGCTTAGAGGAAACGCAGGCCCAAGGTCTGTTTTGTGCTTGGGGGTGACTTGGACCTGGAAATCTCCAGTTGCATGTCCATAGTGCCAGGCTACTCTGAGCGGAAAGGGAGCCCAAAGCCATGGAAAGTGGAGTCCTTATATTAACTCTGAGGAAAGGGCAGGGGTAGCCATAGGCATCTTGTGAGGCACTCGGGGACCTTGAGGGGGATGGTGCTGCCACTAGGAGACCAGCATGCTAACAGGGACTATTTTGGTTTGCTGGGGGGCCTTGATTGCCAGTTTTAGCCAGAGGCCAAGGGAGTTTTCACACCTCCCATTCGGCTCTCTCACATCCCATGAGGATGGGGGTCGGGGACAGACTGCATCCTTTTGGGGACAATTGTGTCCTTCTGTGCAAGGATTAATATGTCCCATCTCATCCCTCTGTCCCAGACTCAGACACCCATGCCTTAGCCACAACTGGGGATTGGTGAGGAGTGCTATCCCAACATTGACCTGAGGGGCTGCAATTTCTGTTTGCGGCCATATGCTGCCATGTCTGCTCCACTTCATTTGTATGCAGCTTGGGTCACACTCCTGTTACTCTCGCTGCCAGCCACAGTTCGACCCTTCTTCAACCCCATCATTTGTGGTTTGGTTGCGGAAACATTCATACTCTTCCCTCTCTGTAGGCCAAAGGGCCTTGGAAAATGTGTACGTTTCCGTTGGAAGGAAACATGGACGAGAAAAAGACCTTTTAGCTAATATAGTTCTTGGATTTGCAAATACAGATATGTTCAAGCAGCTCAGGCTGTGAGTAGAGAAAGCATTAACACAAGTCAGTGCTCACTTGTCATGATATACAATTCTCGGTGCTTCACTCTTAACACATGCAAGAGGGTCTTGTTCCTGAAAATGACGGTGACTTGCAAAATTTAGGAGATTATTGGGAACATCAGGTACTGGGGACCAAGGTCTCTACCATCTCCAAGTCACTGCTGTAAATTCAGAGAGAGTCCCTGGGCAGCCCAAGTGAGGTATGCCACCAGAGGCACCCCAAGGACTTTTGAGTAACTGATAAGTAGGTATCCCCATCCTGGCGGTTGAGGCCAGTATATTTAATGTCTCAGGAGCCTACAACAAATGTGAAAATGCTTCTGTGACAATACCAAAACTCCTTTGGGAGGTCATCATATATCAGACAAGTTTAATAAAGATTCTTTGTACATTTATTATCTCTTCAGCATCATCACCTTCAGCCACTGCTGCTCCTGATGCTGCCA